CACAGTCAAACCAATGAAACTATAATATCTCACATATATAATGGTTTAAGTAAAGAAACAAAAATTATACGAAAAATATTAGTTACGTGCAATAAACAGGGGTTGGACAATTAAACATTGACAAAGTTAATAGAAGCTAAATTGGACAAATAGTTTAGAACAGGGTGTAGTGTATAGCCAGCATATAGTCCAGTCTTTAATCTAGTCTAGTCTCTAATCTGGTCAAGAATGTACTATAGTCTAGTCCACAGTCTAATCTTAGAATAGATTATAGTCTAGTCTATAGTTTAGTCTAAAGTCGAGTCTATTTAAATAGTGTAGTCTATAGTCTATTCTAGTCTAGTCTAGTCTATAGTCTAGTCTATAGTCTAGTCTATAGTCTAGTCTATAGTCTAGTCTATAGTCTAGTCTATAGTCTAGTCTATAGTCTAGTCTATAGCCTAGTCTATAATCTAGTCTATAGTCTAGTCTATAGTCTAGTCTATAGTCTAGTCTATAGTCTAGTCTATAGTCTAGTCTATAGTCTAGTCTATAGTCTAGTCTATAGTCTAGTCTATAGTTTAGTCTATAGTCTAGTCTATAGTTTAGTCTATAGTCTAGTCTATAGTCTAGTCTATAGTCTAGTCTATAGTCTAGTCTATAGTCTAGTCTATAGTCTAGTCTATAGTCTAGTCTATAGTCTAGTCTATAGTCTAGTCTATAGTCTAGTCTATAGTCTAGTCTATAGTCTAGTCTATAGTCTAGTCTATAGTCTAGTCTAGCCTATAGTCTAGGCTATAGTCTAGTCTATAGTCTAGTCTATAGTCTAGTCTAGTCTAGTCTATAGTCCTAGTCTATAGTCTAGTCTATAGTCTAGTCTATAGTCTAGTCTATAGTCTAGTCTATAGTCTAGTCTATAGTCTAGTCTATAGTCTAGTCTATAGTCTAGTCTATAGTCTAGTCTATAGTCTAGTCTATAGTCTAGTCTATAGTCTAGTCTATAGTCTAGTCTATAGTCTAGTCTATAGTCTAGTCTATAGTCTAGTCTATAGTCTAGTCTATAGTCTAGTCTATAGTCTAGTCTATAGTCTAGTCTATAGTCTAGTCTATAGTCTAGTCTATAGTCTAGTCTATAGTCTAGTCTATAGTCTAGTCTATAGTCTAGTCTATAGTCTAGTCTATAGTCTAGTCTATAGTCTAGTCTATAGTCTAGTCTATAGTCTAGTCTATAGTCTTGTCTATAGTCTAGTCTATAGTCTAGTCTATAGTCTAGTCTATAGTCTAGTCTATAGTCTAGTCTATAGTCTAGTCTATAGTCTAGTCTATAGTCTAGTCTATAGTCTAGTCTATAGTCTAGTCTATAGTCTAGTCTATAGTCTAGTCTATAGTCTAGTCTATAGTCTAGTCTATAGTCTAGTCTATAGTCTAGGCTATAGTCTAGTCTATAGTCTAGTCTATAGTCTAGTCCTATAGTCTAGTCTATAGTCTAGTCTATAGTCTAGTCTATAGTCTAGTCTATGTCTAGTCTATAGTCTAGTCTATAGTCTAGTCTATAGTCTAGTCTATAGTCTAGTCTATAGTCTAGTCTATAGTCTAGTCTATAGTCTAGTCTATAGTCTAGTCTATAGTATAGTCTATAGTCTAGGTCTATAGTCTAGTCTATAGTCTAGTCTATAGTCTAGTCTATAGTCTAGTCTATAGTCTAGTCTATAGTATAGTCTATAGTCTAGTCTATAGTCTAGTCTATAGTCTAGTCTATAGTCTAGTCTATAGTCTAGTCTATAGTCTAGTCTATAGTCTAGTCTATAGTCTAGTCTATAGTCTAGTCTATAGTCTAGTCTATAGTCTAGTCTATAGTCTAGTCTATAGTCTAGTCTATAGTCTAGTCTATAGTCTAGTCTATAGTCTAGTCTATAGTCTAGTCTATAGTCTAGTCTATAGTCTAGTCTATAGTCTAGTCTATAGTCTAGTCTATAGTCTAGTCTATAGTCTAGTCTATAGTCTAGTCTATAGTCTAGTCTATAGTCTAGTCTATAGTCTAATCTATAGTCTAATCTATAGTCTAGTCTATAGTCTAGTCTATAGTCTAGTCTATAGTCTAGTCTATAGTCTAGGCTATACTCTAGTCTATAGTCTAGTCTATAGTCTAGTCTATAGTCTAGTCTATAGTCTAGTCTATAGTCTAGTCTATAGTCTAGTATAGTCTAGTCTATAGTCTAGTCTATAGTCTAGTCTATAGTCTAGTCTATAGTCTAGTCTATAGTCTAGTCTATAGTCTAGTCTATAGTCTAGTCTATAGTCTAGTCTATAGTCTAGTCTATAGTCTAGTCTATAGTCTAGTCTATAGTCTAGTCTATAGTCTAGTCTATAGTAGTCTAGTAGTCTATAGTCTAGTCTATAGTCTAGTCTATAGTCTAGTCTATAGTCTAGTCCTATAGTCTAGTCTATAGTCTAGTCTATAGTCTAGTCTATAGTCTAGTCTATAGTCTAGTCTATAGTCTAGTCTATAGTCTAGTCTATAGTCTAGTCTATAGTCTAGTCTATAGTTTAGTCTATAGTCTAGTCTATAGTCTAGTCTATAGTCTAGTCTATAGTCTAGTCTATAGTCTAGTCTATAGTCTAGTCTATAGTCTAGTCTATAGTCTAGTCTATAGTCTAGTCTATAGTCTAGGCTATAGTCTAGTCTATAATCTAGTCCATAGTCTAGTCTATAGTCTAGTCTATAATCTAGTCCATAGTCTAGTCTATAGTCTAGTCTATAGTCTAGTCTAGTCTAGTCTAGTAGTCTATAGTCTAGTCTATAGTCTAGTCTATAGTCTAGTCTATAGTCTAGTCTATAGTCTAGTCTATAGTCTAGTCTATAGTCTAGTCTATAGTCTAGTCTATAGTCTAGTCTATAGTCTAGTCTATAGTCTAGTCTATAGTCTAGTCTATAGTCTAGTCTATAGTCTAGTCTATAGTCAAATCTATGGTCTTGTCTATAGTATAGTCCGTAGTCTGTTTTCTTGGCCACCCCCTTTAGTTTACCAGAATGTTTCATATATTGTTGCATTAAAACCATGAACAACAACAAAAAAGAACACCATTCACAAATAGTAAAGTCAGCCACCCAACCATTCAAAACATGACTTAAAGTCAGACTTTAACAGCAAACTAAGGTCATAATGTAAAATGTTAATGATATGTATAAATTTTGTTTGTCTCATTCTATTTTTATTTTTAATTTTTTTTCTTTTTCATTTAAGAAACTTTGTCGTTTTTTTAGTGTTGGATATGTGTAGCTTTATCAGAGAGAACATAATAAATAGAATTTTAAATGGTTATAAATGTCAGATTTTATTTAAACAAACAAAATGTTTATATTTTATTATTACTATTTGTTCGATTCTTTAGCGGACTGTATAAAATTAAACACGGATATTTGTATTTTAATTAGAACATAAAATTATTTATTTCACTGGTTTTACATTTAATATAAGTTGTATAAAGTTTGTAATGAACTTAGTGGTTTCAAGTGTTGTTCTCTACTTGGTTTTCTGTCTATCCTCTCTTTCTTCCCTTTCGTCTGTCACAGTGTTACCAAAGTTTCAAAAAAATGATCTTTACAATGTTGTATTTATATGTATGTTAAAATGTAGGAAACATCAATATTATGAATTATAAAAATAAGTATAAAATAATAAAATATAATGATCGCGGTCATAAACATATCGGCCCACCTTGAAAGGATCCCTTTCAACCATCTACAAAAAGTGGACAAACCTTTGAGATTGGACGTTTGAGGACACCCTTTGTCGTCTTCATTGAAACTACTCGGACTATATTGTCCTTACCGGGATGAGTACATATTATTCTCCCGATGAGCCATTGTGTAGGGGGAAGATTTTCCTCTTTTATGAGAACGATGTCATCGATTTGTAGATTTTCAATTTTCCGACGCCACTTTGGCCGTTGTTGAAGTTGGGTAAGATACTCGTTAGACCACTTAGACCAAAATTGTTGAACTAGGCTTTGTATGTATTGCCATCTGCTTAGGCGATTAACGTTGACATCAATTAAATTCTCGTCTGGAATTGACTTCATTGAGCGGAGTATTAAAAAATGTGCTGGTGTTAGAGGGTCGATGTCTCCTTCGAATTTCAGGCATAATGGTCGAGAATTCAAGCAGCATTCAATTTGACACAGCAAAGTACTTAACTCTTCATACGTTGTAGATGAATTGCCTAGTACACGTTTCATATGGAATTTGACAGATTTGACACCTGCCTCCCATATGCCGCCGAAGTTTGGTGCGGACGGAGGTGTGAAATGCCATTGTATCTGTTCGTTAGACATTTCCGTTTGAATATATGGATAATTTGTGTGAAGAAAATCATATAACTCCTTCAATTCGCGATTACAACCAACGAAATTAGTTCCGTTGTCCGTGTAAACATGAAGTGGTTTCCCACGTCTGGATGTGAAACGGCGAAATGAAGCAAGAAATGCTGGTGTAGAAAGGTCCGTCACAGGTTCAAGATGGATTGCCTTAGTATTTAAGCAAACAAATACTGCTAACCAACATTTGTATGTTTTGGAACCACGCCCCTTCCACGATCGCACAAGCATTGGGCCAGCAAAATCGATGCCGACGTATAAAAATGTTGATCCAGGTTGCAAGCGACAGCTAGGAAGATCACCCATTCGTTGTTGAAATGGCCTTTGTCTGAACCGCATACATGTTGTGCATTGGTAGATTGTTCTTTTTACGATTTGTGATACTTCAGGAATCCAATACTTCAAACCTAATAAGTACTGCAGCTGGCGTTTTCCCGCATGCAAATGCTTTGTGTGATAGTGCCGAACGATGAGTTGTGTTAATATGTTGTTCTTATGTAGAATATATGGGTGCTTCTGATCGTAACTGATTGAAGCGTTTTCAAGGCGACCACCTACACGCAAGATTCCAAAGTTGTCGAGAAATGGAGATAGACCGGCAAGCTTGTTTCCAGAAGGAATCTGTTTGTTCGATGCTAACATACGAATTTCCGCTGCATATGTTTCATGTTGAGCTTTTCTTACAAGCATTCTGTGAGCGTTTTGAAGCTCCGTCGTAGTGAGGAAACCAGTTTGACGTTGAGATTTGCATTTACAATTACCAAAAAAACGTAAAATCAGAGCAGTTACACGAAGTAGCTTGTCATAACTTGAGAATAGGTGAAACAAATCTGTTTGCTTGACGGATGTTGCTGTTGCGATTACCTTGCGTTCCTCTAAATCAATGTTCGATGGGATAGATGCTGTTGACATTGTTGAAGCTTCCATTGTAAAACCTTGCAAAACGTGTGGCCCTTGCCACCATAAACTGTTGTCTTTAATTTCCGATGAAGAGATGCCACGCGTAGCTAAATCGGCTGGATTTTGTTTCGATGTAATATGACGCCATTGACTTGCTGGAATTATGTTGATAATATGAGATGTTCTATTTGCAATGAAGGTTTTCCACCGCCGTGGATGATCACTCAACCATGCTAGTACGACAGTTGAATCAGTCCAACCATATGTAGGTACATTCTGCAATTCTAAAGCTTGTTTCACTTTAACCATAACTTTCACCATGAGATGAGCTGCACAAAGCTCTAAGCGTGGAAGTGTTATTTGTCGAATCGGGGTAACTCTGGTTTTCGATGTTATTAGACTAGTTGTTATTGATCCATCTGGTTTTATGACACGAATATAAATAGCAGTAGAATAGGCTAATTCCGATGAGTCTGCAAATCCGTGAAGTTCAATACGATCTTCAACGTTGAAATTAAACCATCTGGGAATTTGTAGATCACGTATGTTCTCAACTTGATGTTGAAGTTGTAGCCATTCCGCTTTAAGATCACTTGGTAGATCTTCATCCCAATTGACACCTTTAATCCAAAGTTTTTGCATGAAGATTTTCATTTTAATTAACACCGGAGATAGCCAGCCAATTGGATCGTAAATTCTTGAAATATCCGATAGCACGCGACGTTTCGTGATTATTCCAGTAATTTCGCCAAAACACACGCTGTATTGAAAACAATCCGTTGATGTGTTCCAAAGCAGTGCTAGAGTTTTTACCGTTTCTGACTGATCAATTATCAGCTCTGATGAACAAGCTCGATCTTGAGGATCAATTTTATCCAACAATTCCCTTGAGTTCGTTGACCATTTGCGAAGGTTGAAACCTGATTTGGATAAAACTGTGCATAGGGTCCTATGACGTGAAATAGCCGATTCTAAGTCTGGAGCGGAAGACATGTAGTCGTCTACGTAAAACTTGTTGATGATCTCGTTAGACTCTTCTGGATACTTCTGTGAGTTATCAAGAGCAACTTGCATTAACGTACGGGTAGCTAGAAATGGAGCCGATGCAGTTCCATGTGTAACTGTCCTGAGATGATATGTGATGGGTGGATCCTTTGGAGAATCACGCCATAAAATACTCTGATATGATATATCATCTGGATGTATGAGTACCTGTCTGTACATCTTCTCGATGTCTGCGGTAAAACCTATCTTGTGTTTTCGAAAGTTTAGCAGAATCGAATACAAATCATTTTGTACTGTAGGTCCAACAAGGAGATGATCATTCAACGATGTGTTGTTTGAACTTTTGCAAAATGCATCGAAAACAACGCGTAATTTGGTAGTGGTACTTGATGGTTTCAAAACTGCGTGATGTGGCATGTAGTAAACTTGATGTTCCGTTTTATTAGTTGCAATTTCCATGTGATTGAGCTCTATGTATTCGTTCATGAATTTGTGGAACTCGACCTTGAGATTACCATTCTTGTCAAACTGTCGTTCCATGGATTCAAGTCTTCGCATTGCCGCTGTCTTCGATTCACCAAGTTGAAAAGAATTAGCTTTGAACGGAAGTTTCACCATATATCGTCCATCAGGTTGTTTCCGGACATTTTCCTTGAAATGTTGTTCGGCATGTTCCTCATCAGGAGTTAAATGCTTTGATTGAACATCACATTGTTCTATCTCCCAAAAACGTTGAAGTTGTTCGTCCAAGCCAGTATGTAGATGGGCAATCATAATGGACTTTTCGGGTTGTCTGTTGACATTTCCCATAATCACCCAACCGAATATTGTGCTAAGTGCTGTTGGAGAACCTGATGGATGGGATACCTTTTCCCCTAATATACAATGGGGAAAAACGTCAGCTCCTAAAATGATGTCGATGTGGTTTGGTTTATGGTAAACAGGATCGGCCAGTTTCAAATCTTTAAAATATTCGAGCTTCTGGTTCACTATCGTATGTGACGGAATATATTGTGTCAGATTCGATAAGCAATAAGTCTGAACTATGATTGTTCTGTTGATATCCTTAGCGAAGATTTCCAATTGTACTTTTCCCCTGGTGTAACTTGTAGTGTTTCCACCAACTCCACATAGAGCAGTTTTATCATGCGACCTATTCAACTGAAGTCGCTGAACGCATGATTCCGAAATGAGCGTTGATTGGGCACCGGTATCTACAAGAGCTCTGCATGGTTGCAAGCTATTGTTCCTATCACGCACCATGATTACCGCTGTTGGCAGAAGTGTAGTCTGATTTGTTGTAGTCTGCTGACTTGAATTTACCGTAATTGAAGAAGAGCCATTAGTATCGTCACTTGACTGTTCAGCGTTGCCTCTTGATGGATTAGTATTAACATGCAACAATGTGTTGTGTTTCAAGCCACAAGTTCTGCAGGAACTAGACTTACAATCCTTAGAAAAATGTTTTTCCTTTAGACAATTCAAACAAAAACCACTTTTGAGAACGACGTTCTTGCGTCTTTCGATATTCAGATCCTTAAACTGTTGGCATGCAAATAAAAAATGATCTTTTTGGCAGACTGGACACGATTGAGTTGTTGCTGTCATTGTAACAAATTTATTAGGTTTCCTGAACTTAGATGACTGATCAGGTATTTCCAAACTTTCCAACTCTATTACACGACTTTCCAAAAAATCTAATAACTTCTTAAATGACTGCCTATCAATATCATTCTGCTGACGATACCACAGCGTAATTGTTTCCCGATCTAACTTCTCCTTTATCAAGAATAGCAATAATGGATCCCACGAAGCCACGGATTCATATAAGACAGAAAGAGCATTATAGCACTCAATAGTGTTGTTGTAAAATTTTCTAATCTCCGACAATGTACCATTCTTGACCGAAGGCTGAGTCAAAAGTAATCTAATATATGTCTCCTTTATTTGATCTGGTCTGTCGTACTTCTTCTTCACTATGTCCCAAGCTATTCTATAATTACCGTTCGTAGGAGTTAAATGCTTAATTATCGACGATGCTTCGCCCTTGAGTTTCGTCTGGAGATACTCTAGCTTCTCAACGTCCGATAAATTTGTTCTAGCATCAACCATGGCGTTGAATAAATCCCTGAACCGAATCCAGTTTGATAAATTGCCATCAAAATCTGGAATCTCAATTTGAGGTAAACGTATACTCGAATTGTTGTTATTAATGTTCGAATTATTCATGCCAGATGACTGTAAGTTAACGACAGATGTCAATGTTGTTGACATTGTCTGTAATAATGCCGTCAAATCATTATTAAGTTGTGGAGTACTTGCAGCTGCTCCCTCAATTACCGTACTATCCAAATTTTCCTGAGTATATGACGTGTATATGGATTTAGCCGTAAAATACATTTCATCAATTTCATTGCGGTATGCATCTTCCTTTTGAATGTCAGAATCTTTATCGCATAAGCTATCAATCTCATCTTGAATGTCCTTGTATTTCATAAAAACATTTTCAAATTCCTCCATACGTACCTTTATATCGTTGTAACTCACGTTATGGCCAGATATGAAATTATACAATTTTATCACCGACTTTTTCAATTGTGTGCGTTTCTTCCTTAATTGTTCCATTTTGCACGAATTCGCGTTCTATAATTACCGAAAAATTATCCTTATTATGGTTCTCTAATATAACTTTCGTTCTAAATGTTAATTGCCGGTTATTCAATGTCATACAGTAACTTTATTACGCACACCCTATTCTGTAGTCCAGCCACTTCACATTTAATATTAATATCAAGCCAAATCAAAAACACAAAATCCACATACTATTTAGCAAATCTCACAACCATATAACATTCCAGTTTCAAATGCACTGATTTAAACTTTATCAAACTGTGATCTAGTTCCATTATAGTTACAAGTGCACTGCCAAATCAAACACAGTTTTAAATGATCTACTTTAAACTTTGTCAAACTGTAATCTAGTTATACTATAGTTACAAATGCACTGCTTCCACATTCACAATAAAACTTTTAACTGCCTTTTCAAATATATCAACACTGTCACTGTTCTACTAATCCACATGTATCTTTCTTGTTTATTGTTTTGTCCTTCTCATACCAATTCACTCATGTATGTAAACGATCTTTTTGTCTTTTATCTTTTGACCACTGATTCTAATGTATGTACCAACCGAAATCCCATGTACGTACACTGTTTTGATATACCATGTATGTTAACACTTTTCCTTTTCTTGCTCCACAGAAATTTCATGTATGTTGGAACTTTTGCCTTATGTACTTTACGATAAACACTTCCAGACACTTATGTATGTAAGCTATATTCTGTATGTATGTATGACAAATTATATCATCCACGTTCCGTATGTACATATACGACACACGTATTAACAAAGAATCACTATGATCACTCTTATCGATTGTTTTCCTTAAGGGTGGTTTTCCCTATGTAAGACAGTTGAACATGTATACACCCGATGTTGTTGTCGTTGGTAAATTTAATAAAAATAAGAAAAACTACCACGTTTGCGCGACGCGTATGTATCGTTTTTGTTATTATGCAAATTTTAATAAATTCGTAATCCACTTGACTTTACACAACCGCATCTGGGTCGATTGGACCAAAAATTATGTTCGATTCTTTAGCGGACTGTATAAAATTAAACACGGATATTTGTATTTTAATTAGAACATAAAATTATTTATTTCACTGGTTTTACATTTAATATAAGTTGTATAAAGTCTGTAATGAACTTAGTGGTTTCAAGTGTTGTTCTCTACTTGGTTTTCTGTCTATCCTTTCTTTCTTCCCTTTCGTCTGTCACAGTGTTACCAAAGTTTCAAAAAAATGATCTTTACAATGTTGTATTTATATGTATGTTAAAATGTAGGAAACATCAATATTATGAATTATAAAAATAAGTATAAAATAATAAAATATAATGATCGCGGTCATAAACACTATTTTTTCATAATGTTTACAAACTGATTTTATGTTGAAAATGTAGTTTTTTGTAATAAAACATGACACTTTAGATGTGCTTTGTAGTTGGGTTTAAAAAGCTGAGAAATACATAAATAAACAATAGCAATGAGTCATTAAAGGGAGCTATAGCAGAATTGGGGCAAAGTTGGGGGCAAAAATTGTATTCATTGAAAATCTTCAGTAGAAAGCTTGACCAACAAAAACATAAAAAAATAAAAAATCTTCAGTAAAAAATATTAATTAAATTCAAAGCTTTATAACTAAAAAGCTAAAACATACGATTTTTAAATAAAAAAAAAATTAATAGAAAGCTTTTTAGAAAGCTTTAAAAAGTATAAGGTTGTTCAATAAAAAGCCTAAATATAAAGTTAAAAAAACTATAAAAGCTTTAACATAAAGCATTTTTAATAAAACAAAAATATAATGTTTCTTTAATAAAAATATTAATAAATATAAAGGTTTTAAACAAAAAAAGCTTTAATAGAACATTAAAAAAAAAAACTTAAAAAATATAAAGCTGTTTCAATAAAAATTTAGGACATTTTTATATAAACGTTTAAACAAATAACGTAAACATAAAGCTTTTTCAATAAAAAGCTTTTTTTTAATAAAAAGCTTAAATATAAAGCTTTTTCAATGAAAAACATGAATATAAAGCTTTTTTTAATAAAAAGTTTAAATAAAAGTCTTTTCAATTAAAGCTTAAATATAAAGCTTTTTTCAATAAAATCTTTTATATGAAGCTTTCTCAATAAAAAGCTTAAATATAAGTTTAAATTTAACGATACTTTAATATAAATATTAATAAATGTAAAAAGTTCAAATATAAAGCTTTTTCAATTAAAGCTTAAACATAAAGCTTTTTCAATAAAAGCATAAAGATTAAATATAAAGCTTTTATAAATAAAAAGTTTAAATATAAATTTCTTTTCAATTAAAACTTAAATATAAAGCTTTTTCAATAAAAAGCATAAATAGATTTTTTTTTTTAATAAACAGCTTAAAAATATAAAGCTGTTTCAGTAATAAATATAAGACTTTTTTACAAAACGTTTAAAGAAAAATCCTTTTTAATAAAAAGCTTAAATATAAGCTTCAATATAAAGCTTTTTTAATAAAAAGTTTAAATATAAAGCTTTTTTTAATGAAGAGTTAAAACATAAAGCTTTTTTTTAATAAAAAGTTTAAACATAAAGCTTTTTTAATAAAAAGTTTAAAAGCTTTTTCAATTATAAGCTTAAATATAAAGCTTTTTTAGTAAAAAGTTTAAATATAAAGCTTTTACAATAAAATCTTAATATATAAAGCTTTTTCAAAAAAAAAAAAAAAAAAAATAAATAAATAAAAGCTTTTACAATAAAAATAAATATCAATATCAAACTTTTTCAAGCTCTAACATTGTTGTCCTAATAAAACAACAAAAACAACACAAAGCTTTTTTAATAAAAAGCTTAAATACTTTTTTAAGCATAAATATACTTAAAGATGTGAAAAAGCCTAAATATAAAGCTTTTTCAAAATTTAAATAAAAAGCTTTTTAAAAGCTTAAATAAGAAGCCTTTAAAAACAAAATCCTAAATATAAAGTTTCTTATAAAAAAAAATTAGCTTTTTATGTAAAAACTTAAATATTAAGCTTTTTAAATTCAAAATATAAAACTTTTTCAATAAAAGCTTTAATATAAAGTTGTCCTAATAAAAAATCTTCACACACAACTTTTTTTATAAAAAGTTTAACTATAAAGCCTTTTCAATAAAACTTTCTTAAAGCTTAAATATACTTAAAGATGTGAAAAAGCCCAAATATAAAGCTCTTTCCAAATATAAATAAAAAGCTTTTTAAAAGCTTTATTACGAAGCCTTTAAAAACAAAATCCTAAATATATAGTTTCTTATAAAAAATATACCAAACTTTTTATCTAAAAAACTTAAGTATTAAGCTTTTTTAAATTCAAAAGCTTAAACTGAGAAATATTAATCATTTATCATTATAAGTTTTAGTATAAAATTGTTACAACCAACAACATTAGAGTAAACTTCAATGCAAATCTTTTGTAAAAAGCTTTTTTTATTAAAAAGCTTTCGTATAAAGGGGTTTCAATCATAATTTTTTGTTTAAAAATATTTTTTAGTAACTACCTTTTAAAAAAATATTTTTATTAAATTTTATTTTTCAAAAAGCTTTTTGAGACTCATTAATTTTTTAATTAATTACACTAAACTGTCATTTCACTAAATTAATTAATTATTAGTTATGCCAAGAAAATAGTTTCGTTATTAATTGTACTTTTATTTTCTACTATTTTGGACTTTGTGACAATTTCATGTCTTTGCTCTTTCTCCATATTCCTATTTTCACAACAATTTCTTGCATTTTTTGTTGATTCCCAGCCAAAAGCTCTTTTTCTCTTTCTCCGTCTCGTTAACAAAAATAGCCAAATAGAAAACATTATTAATTATAATGAATTTGTTGGCCCAGTGTGTGTTGTGGACTTCTAAGCTTTAAGCTGCTAATAAAGCCATTAAAATGTATAGAAAATAAAAAGACATTAGGCCAGGAGTTACAAAAGGACACACACTAAAAGGTTCCTGTAGTCGTAAAAAATATTAAGAAAATACTACAGCATAGAGAGCAATACCAGCAAAATCATGCTGTGTTCATACACTAATTACGCACAACTTAACACGTTACTTGTAAACTGTCAAAATGACAAAGCACAGGCAAGAATGGCAGCAATACAAGCAATAGAATGACATGAATGAAAAGAAAATCTTTAAACAAGTTTAGTCGTAATAATAATGAGTAGATCTGGTCAGAGTCAGATTGTTTAGTCAGGAACAATAACAACAACTTGATTTAAGATTAAAAACATGAGAATGAAAAGAAAATTCTTGGTAAATTAAAGAAAGGAAATAGCAAAACTGAAAGGAAACTTAAATGACCATAGAGTCTGTAAGTACAGTGGGTTAGGAGAGTTTAGTTTATAAATATTTAATATTTTCTTAAACTGTATGTATATTTGTAAACTTATCTTTTCTTTCACATTTTTTTCTTTTTACACCCACTGTTCTGCGATTATGCTTGTGCTGATGACAGCAAAAGAACATTACGTAGAATGATGCTCTATTGTGTAAACAATTTTTGTTATTTTGTCTTTCAATTACATACACATACTGATTTGTTGTTGCACAAAAGTGGCCACGTTCACAGAGTAGATAAAATTAAAATTATATCTAACAAAGACCAGGCGCCAAAATTGTTTAGTCTTATTCTTTATTTTTCTTGACATGTTCTCTCTTTGGCATTGTTGCAACTTAACAAATGTTCACACTAGAGGTAGCACTTAAAAAAAAACAACACAGCTGTAAGATTAAATACTTTCAAATTTGTTGCTATTTTTAAGTTGAAATAAATTAGTCATGATAAAACAATTTAAAAGAACCTGTACAATCGATCAGACATACATATGTATAGCCCAGACGGACCGAAGGAAGAAAAACACCTAACCAGAATATAGACTAGACTATAGACTAGACTATAGACTAGACTATAGACTAGACTAGACTATAGACTAGACTATAGACTAGACTATACTAGACTATAGACTAGACTATAGACTACT